CTCTGGCCCTGTGAGGACAAATTTTGAAATGGAATTGATTTGAAAATTTATCTTATTGCCGGTATGATATAAGTTATGTCAGCGAATCTGAAGGCCGTGGGCAGATAAAATTGACACGGCAACACATTGATGCTGAAATCTGATTGGACAATAAAATCTAACAAGCGAAAGCAGTTCAGCCAAGAGAAATGCTTTGAAAGGAAGAGAATAGACTATTGGGAATAAATTAATGCAATCTAATGCTCCACAAAAGGCTCAAATATAGCGGCTCAAATATGTTTCTATTTTCTCCAGGAATTTCTCCCATTCAGCTCACTGGAGGCCATGATGGCTTACCGCGACACGGAATAGACTATTGGGAATAAATTCATACAATCTAATGCTCCACAAAAGGCTCAAATATGTTTCCATTTTCTCCAGGAATTTCTCCCATCCAGCTCACTGGAGGCCATGATGGCTTACCGCGACACCCCAAGTGCCCTTCTCCTCCTGCTTCTCCTAACGTGGGCCTCCTCCGCTGATCATACGGCGGCCCCTGACACACAGCGCGTCATCCCTACCGAGATGGCGCTCTCGAGAGATGCGCAGAGCAGGGATGAGGATCGGATCCCCGAGAAAGCGGCGAAGGCAGACCTCTTTGATGACGTGGATCCCAAAACGCTCGCGGCGCTCTTGCTGGGGGCGCTCAATGGCACGCGGGCAGAGAGCAGGAGAGAGGATGACCACGTGGCTGGAGACGAGCCCGAGGGAGAGGAGCGGGACAGAGATGGGCGACTGAAGCTGGAGTTGCTCATGGCTGCCCAAGGGAGGGAGGAGAAGAAGAAAGCCGAAGAAGAGGAGGAGAGAATGACCGAGAGGGTGAGCAGTCGTACCACGAGCCAGACGGTGCCGGTCCAGACGCAACCGCCGCCCGAGCAAGGCGCCGAGGAAGAGCAGCTCAACCCGGAGGAGCTTAAGAATCTGGAGACCATGATGAAGGAATTCCCTCGCTTGGATACGGCCGTAAAGCGGGCGGGGCATTCGGAGCCAAACCAGAGGGAGAGTCGGGGCTACAGCAGCTACAATGAAATCATCCCATTCAACAAAGTCAACAATGTGGCCCTGTCGAAGAAGAAATTGAAATGGCAAGAGGAGACGCAGAAGGCCTTGAACGTTCCATCGTTCAGAGGTAACTTCATGGATGACTTCAAAGACCGCGGTGATACCGACACGCCTCGGCCCGAAGAGGAGGCGGAGGAGGAGGCGGAGGAGGACTTGTTGAGTCCCGAAGAAGAGGAGGCCCGGGCCAAAGCGGAGCAAGAGGAGATGAGGAGGCAGGCCGCCGAAGTGCAACGAGCCAAGCTGGAGGAGGAGAAGCTGGCTGACATCGCCTCGGATATGCTGCTGCGCTACATGGTCAAGCAGAACGGCGGCGGCAGGAAGTACCTGTCGACGTCCTCCAACGCAGCTGAAGACAAGAGGTCGGAGGAAGACCAGGAAGAAGACGACATCGACCCCCAGACCATCGACAAGCTGATCGAGATCTCCAGCAAGCTGCACCTGCCCGCCGACGACGTGGTGGACATCATCAGTGATGTGGAAAAGAAGAAGAAGAAGGATGTCACCCCACAAATGTCCTCCGCAGGCTCCTTTCCCGACTCCAAAAACGATCCAATCAGCTTTCCAGTCCCCAAGCAACCGTCTCCAGCGTTCCCTCTCCTTAAAAACTGGTTTCAGGAGTCCAAGGAATTCTGGAGCAGCAATCCCGTATCCAAACCGTACATGTGGCCCAAAGCTCTGAAGCCCGTGAAGCAGAACCCCTGGGCTTGGACCCGCTATCCCAACACACAACCCGCCTACTACCCGGTCTACTTCCCTCCACCCCGGCCCACATACCGATACTACGTGCCCAAACACGCTCTGGCCTTCAACACCTTTCTCCAGCGATCCGGAGATGGCGCGTACGCCTTCCAGCCCAAACAACGCTACCTCAACTGGGTGCAGCCCCGCTTGAGGAAGCCCCCTGCCGCACTCCGGCGCAAGCCCTACTACCCCCGATACCGCCTCCCTTTGTACACCCAGAGGCCGTTGCCCGCTCCCAGAGGCCCTCTGCCACAGCAGCAGTTTTACCGGTCGCCCCCGAAGGGGTACTTGTCCAACAGTAAGGGCCACCTGGAGAAATACATTGAGCAGCTACTCATGAAGAGGCCGCAAGTGCAGAACTGAAAGTGGCGAACTAGCCAGGAAAGGTGGCACAAGAGAACGGATCCAGTGGCGAGGAGAGTGTTTCTATTTTGACATTCTTTGCCTCATTTGATCCATTGTGACTCAAGACATTCCAGGAGGGCTTTAAACGTACCACTTCTCAACTCCAAGATCCCAAAACATTAGGATACATCATACCGAGTAAGCGGGATGATGGGCAAAAAAGCAGTCAAATATACCACATGGCCAAAAGGACAGAGGACTGAAGGAAGGCTTATGGTCTGGTCTTATTTGTGCATGTTCAATTTTACACACACGACATATCCAGTCCGCCTTTCCAAAGAGCAAAACAATTCTGAACAGGACGTACAGTATTTGATGGCGGGGGCAGTGAGGCAGCTCTATAATGGCTCCTGTGACTCATCCCTTTGCACAACTTCAATTACCTTGTTGCTATAGCACCAAAGTGTACATGCCATTCCTTTTCTTTTACGGCCAAGATCTGCTGGGAATCAGACTGCAGAAAAAAAAAACACTTTGAAATAAAACACTCTTAAAATTGCTGAGTCAAAAGTAACACAAATTGGGGGAAATAGCTAACCCAACGCTGGGTTCGAAACGGACCGAGCCAGTGCTGGGTTATGTATAACCAGCACATTAAATTGACGATTTGAGCCAGCACGTTGTGTCAAGATCAAGTGGTTTAAAAAAAAACTGCCAATACGGAGGAGTTAAAGGGAACAAGTAATTGTTTGCAAGCTGTGCTTAAAAATACTTATATGTTATTGCCAACATTTTTTTCTATGAAAAAGAAGCAATTTTCCCTCAACATATCCCAAACATTTTGCCTCTGAATTGATTTGCATTTGATATGATTTTTTCGCAACTGCCAGGATTCCGCATATGTCTGTTGAAGTTGTTTAGCAGCTGATAACAGGTCACTGTGACATTTTTAGTATTGATTCATTCATTTTGCAGATTTTTTTATTTTTTTTGTCGTCATTTGTATGATCCGAAAGGTCCACTTGAGGAATGTAAGCACATACGGAATGATGTGCTTTCCTTGAAGCTGCTTTGAGGACACTCATGATTGAGACACAAGGATGTCTTCACACATGAGACGGGCAATGGCCACATGTTGCTCTTTGGTGTCGGGACATATTTGACTTTACTGGCCGCCCGTTGCTAAGGGACGAGGAAAATACATTTGTTGTGTTGCCATGATGGGCCGCAAGAATCGCGGCATTGACAATCTCACCAAATTCATCCCACCCATTGTCATGAAAACAATGAAGCAAAGCAAGGAGTTTTGTAATTTGTACTAACCTGATATTTGTACGAGATCAAGAGGGCATCAGCACATAATGGAGAGTGCACGTTTATGTAATTGCATCCAAAATGTCTTCTCTGAGAAGAGTCCAACAGAAGCATAAAAAAAAAAAAAAAAGAATTAAAAAAAAATTGGCTTCAAGATGACAGAAGCAATGATGTTGTCGTACCTTGAGATACGTGTTTGAGTGATGTGCTGTTGTTGCCTGTAGACGGCCTCTCTAGATGTACCTTTGTTGTAATTGTCTAATAAACATGCGTTTGCTGGATATGCAAGTATGCGCATGTCAATGACTACTTTTGCTACACACAAAAAAAAACCCCAATAAAGTCGACTACTTTTTTTAATCAAAAGACGCTTCATTGTGGACAGTGTGTGTCCATTTACTGTTTTTTTTTCTTTTCTGTTGCCAAAGCAGTCAAGGTGAGTTGACATCTGATGTGAATGCAAATTTTGCGTGCGCGTGGATGCTGCATTCACATGTGCACGATTGTTGAAAGTGTTGCTCTGCAGCGGCTGCGTGAGGGAGGATGTTGGTGGATGAGTCACCCCGGTCCTCAGCATGTGACATCATGAATCACTGCACCTCTGCGGGCAGAACTGCAGCCATCCAGCACTCGTCTCCTGCCTTCTGCTCACTTGTACGGCCTATTTTATTATTATTATGATTTTTGTTATTAATAATAATAACAACAATAATAATAATAATTATTATTATAATAATAATAATAATTATTATTATTATTATTATTATTATTATTATTATTATTATTATTATTATTATTGTTGTTGTTGTTGTTGTTAAAGGAAAGGAGCAAAACGTACGATTCCTTCTGTAGCTGAGGCTGAAGTCTTGTCGGTTTGCCTACCACCGTTGTCATTAAATAATAATTATTTTTAAAATATGATAAATAATGAATAGTTTTCATTACCAAGAAGAGAAGAACCATAAATGTGTTATTTTTATCCCCCGTGTGAACGACTAGCGATTAATTCGTATCTCGAAGGTAATTGGGCTAAGAAAATTAGCCGGAAACGGCAACCTGGAAGTGTTTTTTTTTTTTTAATTTCAAACCCAAAGCAAAATAACTCAACTCGTTTTTCAAGATGGCTTCCAAATTTTCAATTTCCGTCGAGTAAAAAGCGACGTTTTTTAACGGTTACACCAAAACAACAACGCCGATGACAATTTGGACATTCAGTTCATATTGGTTCTTAAAATTTGCGTCTGTTTGTTTTGAATAGTCGGTTCCTGAATTATATTTTAGATGGTCGGCGTGACCAGCTGACGAGACTGGTCTGAACATTTTAGCCAGGAAATGAACAAACGACAAGCAGCACGTGGCATTCGTTTAAAACGGAGCCCAACGCTTTCTTAAAGAGGGCCGCGTGTTGATTGCGAGCATGACAAAGGTGAGTGAGGTGACGGCACGAGAAGCAGCAGTGTTACAAAAACATTATGGTTTGCTGAGGGTTTCCCCCCCGATTTGTCCAAAATAAAGCGTTGTGGGGTTCAAAATCTTCGCCACACGCAAATGTTGCTGCATCTGCCTTCAGCAGGTGAGACAAACCAAGTAGAAGGCGAAATCGGCGCTCTCACAAAAGTTAAAATAAGCAGCCAGCTGGCAATAAATCATTACTTACTCTTGGCCCCACATCTTTCTGTCTCCGTTTTTTTTAAAAATAAAACGTGCCTAATAGGAGTAATGTGAGTTTCATTTTTTGAATGCTTGAACTTCACTCAAGCATATTCGTTTCGTATGTAAACAAGTGTACCGTAGCTGGTAGGATGTTTTTTTGGGACAGCTGCATTTTAACAGACGATGATGACGACGATATTCCACTTTGCAGGTACATGCAATATTATTGCATCTGTAATGTGTGACTACAAGCCTTCTCATGGAGTTTCTTTTCTTGTAGTTGTCAGGGCATCAATCTCACCAATTGCCGCTATGACAGTGGTAGGTCACTAATGGAAAAACAAAAAAACAAAACAAAACGCCACAAATACATGACCAGAATCCCAAATTTTTCTGTGTCAGTGCGTCGTGCCGCTGAGAAGTTAGGCATTAAAGAGGCGAAGGCAGGTGAAGACTGGACCCTGTTTTGGAGCGATGCCCGTCCCTGTGAGGACAAATTTAAGGAAATGAAACCGTACCAGGTACTGTCATTACGATTATAAAATGCCACATTTAGCCTTTTGTGTAACATTCTTGGGTCACGGAGCTCCAGTTATAGTACTCCTTTCTTTTAATGCCACTATTTGTGTTTCATTTTTTGCAGAAAATCAACCATTTGCCCTCTATGACTGAAATTTGCCACAAAAATTCATTAGCAACTAACTGGAAGCACATGCTCAAGTTTTTCCCCAAAGACTACAACATTTTTCCCAGAACTTGGACCTTTCCCATAGAGTGTGTTTGCTTGTTTTCCCGCGTCATGTCGACCAGCGTTTCCCTTTCGGACACTCACGCGACCCTGTTTTCTTTTGCAGGTACGGTCTGTTCAAATCCTACGCCAGGGACAAAGACAAATGTTACATTTGCAAACCCAACACGGGCAGCCAAGGCAAAGGCATCTCCATCTTCACGTCGTGGGAGAAAGTTCAGCCTGAACAAGACATGATCTGTCAGGAGTACATCGACAAGGTGAATCTCGCAGAGAAACGCTCGTCGGAAGAGCCTTTTAATCCGTCCCTCCGCTCCCCGCCAGCCGCTGCTCATCGACGGCTTCAAGTTCGACATGCGCATCTACGTGCTGGTGACCTCGTGTTACCCCTGGAGGATCTACATGTACAATGAGGGCCTGGCTCGCTTCTGCACCATCAAGTATGAGGACCCGACGGATGAAAACGTGGTGAGCTCACATGCTTCTCGGTGTGATTCGACTGCATCAAGCAACGCAGAGTCTAATGTCGGTGTCTGCTTGTCAGAATAACAAGTTCATGCATCTCACCAACTTTACCATCAACAAGGACAGCGAGACCTTCATCAATGATGAGCAGACGGGTAGCAAACGGTACCTTAAATGTCAAACATTTTGAGGAATAAGGGAAACACGAGGAGGGCCAGACTAATTATTTTAATAATATCTTAAGTTATTTTTAAAAAAACAGCAACAAAGTTTTCAATTTTTGCTGTTTTTTTTTTCTTTTTAAACAATAACGGACATTCGAAAATTCCTTCCCCTCACCAAAAAATAAAACTTTGGTGAGCATTTTCTCTCTGTTTTTAAAGTGAAGTAATGTTGTAAAACAGTCAAATGTCATTCCTAACTCTTTTTGTCCGTGTTAAGGGGTTTAAAAAAAGGTGTTATTTCATTCATGATCAGTGGTGGGCGCATCAGTAAATTTTGCCCCTTCGTCATTCTTCATTTGCTAGTGGCGGACATTATATCAGTCTGTCAGTTGTCAGTCCGCCACTCGGTCGTCGTTATTTTAACCGCGCTTCCGTCATCGCTAAATTACGCTGTTTTGTGATCGACAGTAAAAACAAAAAAAACTTTACAACAGTAACATGTTAGTAAAAAAAAAACAAGTTTACAGACTTAATTTTTGTGTGTAGTGGTATAATGTAGGCCAAATGCAAAAAAAAAAGGGACCTTTTTTAATTTAATATAATAATAAGAATAAATTTTACATATTTAAAGGTGACTTTCTGGCAAACTGGCAATATGTTGCATTATGTTCAATAAGATGAGAATAAAAACCGAAAGGAAGGAAATACATTAAAATGTTGGGGAAAAAAAAAACAGAAAGGGGTAGAGCAAAACGACATGAGGTTGAGTTGGCAGTTTTAAACTGCTCCGAGTTGTGATTTGAATTGCATGAAAGTATCTTTCAATACACCTTGGCATGTGGGGGGAAAAAAAATCCCTGTTTTTGCATTTATTTCATTTCAATGTGTTTGCAAATACTGCACATTCAAATGTATTTGAAAGTGCGTTAAGACGAATGTGCCAGTCAAAAATGTTGACTCCACTCTCATCTGTTTTTTGAAACCGAGCCATGATTGGTGCTTACCTGAGCAACTGTGATGTCATTTTCAGTCGACGCCAAGTGCCAAAATGGCCACCCAATGGGATGGACAAAAAAGCTGGTGAATGAGCGGCGCTGCATAGAACATATTGTCAAGAAAATGTTTGGCTTGACTTCCCCTTTAATATGGAAAAAATAAAATAAAGCTCTAGTACTATTGCACTCTG